TTAAGTTCACCCAAACCAAGTTTCATGACCACAGAGGAAGGCATCAGGTTGATGCTAACTCCTAAATCAGCTAAAGCATTATTAAACATACAATTTTTGATAGAACAAGGTACAAGAAAACTCCCTGGATCTTTTCGTTTTGGAGGCATGGTCTTCAGAACAACTGCTGAACATTCTGCATTGAGATCCACAACTTCAAGCTCTTCCCACCTCTTCTTTTTCATGAGGAGGTCCTTCAGAAACTTCGCGTACCTCGGCATCTCTGTCAAAGCCTCCATGAATGGCATATTAATATGCAGCTGCTTCAGATGCTCCATAAATCTAATCAAGTTCGTGTTATCGTTGCTTTTCTTCACCCGTGTAGGGAACGGGAGGGGTGGAGTCTTCTTACTCTCCTCTTTCTTCTGAGAATCTTCTTTCTGAACTTCTTCACTCTTGGCTAGAGAGGGAGCAACCACTTGTTCTTCAACTTCCTTGGATTTGGGGCCTTGAAGCTGCCGGTCATCATCTTGTTGAGGCATTGGCGGAGTAGAAACTTCTGGAAGTGTTCTCCCGCTTTGTAGCGTAACAGCTTGCACATGCTCCCTTGGGTTAGGTTCTGTTGAACTCGGAAGGCTGCCCGTTTCTCTAGGAGCAAGTGAACCAAGCTGGCGAATGAGAGCTTCCAAATTGCTGAAACGTTGATGCATATCAGCCTGATTTTTGGCTAATTCAGCCACTGTTTTCTCTAACGCTGCATTTACAGGAGGCTGCTCAAGCTGTCTTTGATGAGGCGGGACATAAGCGGGCTGGTTTGGATGGCCTCTATTCTGAAAATTTGCTTGAAAATTAGGGGCATTTCGCTGCCCTTGATTCTGATTTTCAGGCCTCCACGAGCCTCCTCCTTGCTGAAAGTTTCCCCTCTGACCTTGATTGTTGAAAAATTGTCCACCTCCTCTCTGGCCTTGACCATATTCCATGAAATTGACGTTCTGGACCACTGGTGATGCCTGATTCTGAGCATAAAGAGGACATGTGTGAGTGAGGTGAGCTCCCATGCACATCTCGCAAGATAAAGCGAGTTCTTGGCCGATTGGGCTTGGATAGCTTGCTCGACTAGGAAGTGGGGCAGAATACATAGGATAAGAGGGCTGATATGCCCCAATATTGTGAACTTGCTGCTGTTGAGAGGTCTGCGCCTTCAAGTCTTTCACTTCCACTACCAGCCCCTCAATCTTCGCTGTAAGTGCAGTGATGGGATCAAGATTGAGCAAACCGGGTGGATTTTGAGCTCTCTCTTTACCCGCATGCCAATACTTGTCATTTGAAGCCAAGTTTTCAATTATTTGCTCTTCTGCCTGTGGGGATAATTTCAGAAACATACCCCCTTGAGATGCCCAGTCTAGCTCTCTCATATACTCCAATCGAAGCCCATTATAAAATCTGCACATAATAGTTGCTGCATTCATGAATGTTTCAGGACACTTCCTTCTCAACGTCTTTAGCCTATCCCACGCTTCACTAAAAGTCTCAGTCGGAGCTTGAGTGAAATTGAGAATTTCTGTCTGAACCTTGATAGCGGCAGAGGGAGGAAAATACTCCTGCATAAATGCCTGATGAAGCTTCTCCCATGTATCAAAATGCCCGTTTGGAAAGCTACAGAGCCACCGTGAAGCTTTGTCTTTCAACGAGAATGGGAATAAAGTCAACCTGACTGCTTCGCTGGACACTCCATTATATTTGAACGTGGCACAAGTCTGAATAAAGCTCTCAATATGCTCCATTGGATCTTCATGGGCGTATCCACAGAATGGATTATTAGCAAGCATCTGGATCATGGCCGGCTTGATTTCAAAATTGTTGGCCTCAATGGTGGGTGCCCCAATGCTATTTCTCGCCACATAATTAGGCGTCAGCGTCTCTAGAGTTGTCTGATCGGCCATTTTTTCCAAATCTTCTAGCAAACGCCTTTTAGCTCTTCCTCGGAATAAGCGTTCAGGATTAGAATACCCTTCAATAAGTTCTTGTTCACCCGAGGAGCGAGTGCGCATACACTTGTTCCTGCATCTTAGTTCACGTGCAAAGAACACCAAAAACGACAAACAAATAACAGGAAAAAATAGAAAGTCTCACCGACTTGCTTTTACCTATTCCACAGAAAAGTACTTAACAAACAACCGTGCCACTCCCCGGCAACGGCGCCATTTGATCGGTGTATTTTTTTTAGTGAGTTAAAACGTAGTTGGTTTATCCGTAGAATAACCAGACCACGAGTATCGTCTCACAAGGAGTGGCAAAAAGGAAGTTTTTAAATACAATCCGTGATCACAGGCTAGCACAAGTCATGGTAATCTTTCCGAATAAATTGTTTTGAGTGTTAAGGAAAAAAACTAAGTAATAGTGAGTGCAAAAATAAATAGAGAAAAAAATTAAATTAAATTGATTCAGGATATTAAAACAGGGTTCAAATTGGATGGTTCGGGTTCTGGGTGTTCTTTCGGGTTTAGAATTAAATTAATTGATTTTCAATTATTCCTGGACAGAAAATGAAATAAATTCTCATAGACAAGAATTAAATCAAATTTTGACAATCCTAACTTATTTCTAAGATCAGATTGCTTGTATAAGATTTAAGCTAATTTAACTCAATTTCTCATAGACAAGAATTGAATTAAATCCAAGTATTCATATATGAGGTGATCAAATTCATATAGACAATTATGACCAATCTTATACAATTTTCCAGAAAATTAATTGAATTTAAAAAAAAACTAAATTCACACCCTCAAGAACCCATGAACCCTAGCCCCAATTCAAACCCTATACGGAATTAGCTACTCATACTAAAAATTAACCTCACAATAATGTTCATAAGCATTTTCAGGAGCTAGTTAAATAATTAATTAAAGGAAAAAACAATGACTTAATTAAATGAGAAAAATCGGAAGTTAATAACTATAGACTAAGAAGTTCCAATTCAATCCAAAATCCAGAACTAGAATATGCTGAAACTTACAATCATTGCTAGGAATGTAAATTGAAATGATAAATTGCAGAAAAGTGAGGTTTACGACTCTCCTTGATGCTGCGGCTATCATAGGAATAAAGAAGAAAAAAAAAATCCGTTGCTATCTTCTTGACCAAGAACAGAACAAAATTCCTCCTGCTTGTTTGTGTGCTGAATGAATGATTGGAAAACTCTAGGGCTGCGGCTAATTGATAAGGAAAAGAAAGGATGGAATCTCAGCAGCGGCGGCTAAGTGCCGAAGGAAAACCAAAAAACTGCCCATGCGGCTAATTGGACAGAAGAGAAAACTTGTGCTGCTGGGGTTAATTTCCAAAGTGAAAAGAAGGGATGGGTGATCTCGTCCTGGGCTACTGCTAATTTTTTTTCGGTGGACTGCGCTTCACCTTTCTTTGCTTCGGGCTGCACCAAATTGTTCTTGAAAGAACTCTCAAAAATTCCGGTCCAAACATAAATGTGTTATTCACCGCAAAATTCAGCCTGTACAAGCACAACTCACCAAACCCGCTAATAATATGTAACTTTACAATCAAATTACTCCAAAAATGTCAAATTGTGTACAAAAATACTACACTAAATATGAATGCCACCGGAACCGAAAAATAACAAATTTTCACTCAAAACCCCCAATGGTCACCCGATTAATTGTAAAAATTAGACAATTAACACCCAAAGCATAGGTGAAAAGATAGGAACGGAACGAGCCTATCACATCTCACCTAGCATTTACTCTGGAAGTGCACATACACCAAATTTGTATCTTTTCCGATTAATTTCATTTCATACTCCTTCCGTCCCTTATAACTTTGCCAACTTTCCTTTTTTGGATGTCCCATTAACTTTACCACTTTCCCTTTGAAGTAAAGAATTTGTGGTTCCAGTTAATTCTCTTTCCTCTGCACAAACCTCAACCACACAATTTTTTATTAATCACCGTGCCGGTCAAACTAGTCAAAGTTATTAGGGATGGATGGAGTACTATTAAGATGGTAAGATTTGACGTTTTACATAAGTCAGTGTTATTAGTGACCCAGTTACACCTCTTTGCTTCTTCATTTTCATTAGGAGCTGAACTTGCTGGACTATGGTGGTGACTAGAATGATGTTGCAGCATGATGGTTCTACACCCACATTGCCATGGGCTCTTATCTATTGGCCAGCCCAGCACTATCTTCTGATCAAGTGGTTTCAGTTAAGAGAAGAAAGCAAGTTTTATGTAGTTTTATGTAGCTCTTAACTTTTACTTCTCTCTAGCGCTGCTGGTATTTGTGTATTTCTCTACTAGTCTACTCCGTGGTTTCAGATGTAGTTTAGACACGTTTTGGTGAGGTTGGGGTGTTTAATATCCTCTTTAAATTTGGCCATGAATCTGTCAAAGGGAGAAAATGTTCAGCGATTTTACAACAGATGAAATGATGAATGAGAAGTTGCAAAATTACATCAATGGAAAGTAGGAAGTGGCAGATTGTGAATTTAAAATAGATCACTTCTACTGCTTCCTTAAATGCACCCCGATTTTATTTTCAGTTTTGTACTTCACAAAAAGAAAACCTCTTCGTTATATTTGTTCCAAGTTTTCTATTTAAGAGCTATGCCATTTCGTGTACGTATGGAACATCATCTTTAATCCATGTTCTTGAACCTTAAATGATTAATTGCGTTAAATGGAGGGAAAACCAGGAAATGAATTCACAAGCGTTTTTTTTTCCTTAAAGAGGATGATATTTCATAAAATGAAACTAAAATTTCATGTACTTTGCCAAAAAATATCAAGCCAAGTAAATATGATAAATTAGACAATGTCTGATTGAAAGAGAAGAAATAGATATAGGAGGTCTTGGCAATCAGGGGAAAGAAAATGAGGAACAAGTGAGAAGTGTAGAGAGAAAAGTTGTTTTCTTGAAGAGAAATAGAGTAGAAATTGATTGTCTTTCGTGACACTATTGATTGCGTATCTTCAATCCACTTATACAGGCTACAATTTAATCGAATTTGTCGGAAGCACAAGTGTTCATGTAAACTCTATGAAAGACACCAAATAATATTTTGTGATCTAATTTATTTACCAATTTGGTCAAGGGTAAATAACATTATGTTGACGCTTGATTTGGTAGTAAACCTTTTTACCTTAATGTAGTTCACAGTGAATCTCAATAAAGAGAACATTAGGCTGCATAAATGATGATACAACATCTCATTTGAAGTAAGAAGAGATCCCCTCTTGTATGCAAAGATGGATGGAATAAGTTGCAGTCAAGTGACTACTGGCTTGTTCATTTATTGTTGTAGCTTTTTTCATTCAATTGGATCCCATAATATAAACATTTGCTTGCGTTTGGTCCTTCAACGCAAGTGACAATTTCATCAGAAGCCAGCCTCGATTGTTTATTTTTTTATTGCAAGAAAGCGACAACTATGTACCTTTAATTTTACAATACAACTCGGAAAAACAAGATTGCATTGCTTCCGAAAAAAATCTTCATATTCCTCGACCATTGTATCTTCATGTCCGGGTAGATGATGATGAATAGGAACATTAATCAGTAATCACTTATCTGGGGATGAATTCGTGTTGAACACAGCATATGCATCACTGTATATGGCCACTGCATTTGAAGCCACTGCCAAGACTATCATGAATATCGACAATATCTTATCCTCCTTTGTGGCTATTCCAGGTACATTCCTGAAGTCAGAGAATGGGAAATTACACATTCCTCTTGTGTTTAGTTAAATTAAATCAGAAAGAAAAGAACAATAGTAGTACTCTCTCCCCCCATTCCATATGATTGCTATGCACATTCCTGATTAGTAGGGTCTTTTAAACATTGTTATGCACATTCCCGATTAAGAAACTCATTAAATGTCTTATGATCTTGCATAACAATAGTGTTATGCCTAAACAATGATTGACTACAACCCCTTCTTGGAAAATTAGTAGTAATTTTAATTAATGATCATTTCAGAAAGAATTTATTTGTTTTACTAGAAAATTTAAATAGTCTTTTTTCACAACTCTATTTCTACTCATTTTCTCCTCTACTAATTTTGTCCGAATTCTTTCCATCCTATTTCTCTCTTTATTCAAACAAAGCATTAATATGGAACAGAGTGAACACTGATTTCTATCAATAAAAGCTGGCTTACTTCAATGCAATGGCAGCAGGAAGAATGAAGGCAAGAGAAACAGTTGCAGTGGCCCCACTGAACTGGAAAGCATCCCAAATGCTGGGAACAAAATTTGCAATTACAAACACCACAATAATGAGCCCAAGGTTAATGGACGCAAAACGCCACTTAGCCGACTCCAAAGCCCTTGCAGAGGGAAAGAAGAGACCGTCCACATTAACACGAAGAGGGTAGAACAAAACTGGGAAAACAAGCATAAGGTGAAGCGCATAGGAGATACGAACAGCATCACTGAGGACATGGCTAAAAGGAACACCTAGGTCAGAATTAAAGTTGGCGAGCACATCATCTAAAGTAGAATCGCCAAACAAAAGGTATCCAAACAAGCTTGTCATGATGTATATGATGCAGCAAATTGCCAAAGACGCCCTCACAACTGATCGTATCCGGTGAGGGTCTTTCATTTCATTCTCTATGCTATGCACTGCAGAAAAAAAAGAAGTAACACTATTATTCGATTGTCAATGTTAAAATAGGCCCAACTCACTCTAAAAGGATTCTCATTACCACACACTTGTAGATTTGACACAAACACAATAGAGTTCTAATGTAGAGTCTCCACACACCCCTTAAGCCAACATGGGGTAGTGAACAATTTTGCCCAAACCAATTCCCAAACAGGTTTCCACAAACCATCGAGTGCGTGGGCACCTCACAAACAGCCACCAGACCAGTGTCCAATATCATGTTAAGTTACATTTAACTCGCCCCAAAAAAATCTTCAAGAAGCCAGATTTACCTAACACTTATAGACTAAACTCAAACGCAGTAGAAAGCAATGTGAGATACTTCAAACACCTCCTCTGGCCAAAATGGGGTGGACAACTAAAGGGGTGAACATTTGGCCCAAATCGACCTCAAACAGATCGCCACAAAAAACCGAGTGGGCTCTCCATCAGAGCAGGGTGTGATATCATTTCGACCTCAAGATGTCAAATTTACCTCACACTCATATATACTAGACTCATATGCAATAGACGACTGATGTGGGATTCTCATCAATGAATACTCATGGACATTGTTGTAAAAATCCCCACCTAGCCTTAACTCCTACCCACTTAGGTGCACAGAGTTTTTTAGAACATTGCTTATTGAAGTGCCAATTACATGAAGGTTGAAGTGACTAACCGTTGAAATGGCAGATGTAAGCGGTGACGATAACTGGGACTACAGTGAAGAGTCTCCAGAAGGAAGTAATATCAGTGACATTAGGGAGAAATCTGGGCATTTTAATACCGCCTGTGAACAGCTTATAAATGGTGATCCCTGCAGTAATGATTAGGAAAACAACTGCAAGTGCAACTGCCAAGGCGGATGTGTGTCTCAATGAATCTGCAAGTTCAGAGATTGCAGCTAATAAGATACATAATTAGGAATCTTAAAGAACGAAAAATGAGCCTCCTCTTCTTCTTAACCAATTTTATGGAAGTCCAAAGAGAAGAGAAGGGTGTTTGTGTAGGGGATTTGAAAGTGTGCATTACGGGTTGGAAATGAAATGTTCTAAAAAACATTGTTTTAATTTGCACCTTATGGTATCTAAACACTGCTTTGATGGACTATATGGAGTTTATCAGTTGAAAAAAATATCATTTCTAAGTATTTCCTCAAATACTTATTTTGAAGTCTTATGTGCAAAATAATTACTTCGTCAAATAAAAAAAATGATTTTGTTAGGCTTGCACTTTGACCAAAAAACATACACAAAAGTGCTAAAACCAACAAGGCTTCCATTTTAACATTTTTTACTAAAACATTCGGTCAATAATTTAATGTGACATTGTTTTACTTGAAATGGTTTTTGGTAGTTAAAACACTCCTAAGATGCTTAGCTAAAACTCAGATACTTAGGTGACTGTTAGAATCTTGAAACGCCTTTCAAGATTCATATAGTGAAACCTACCAATGCGCTTGCAAAAAGCCAATGGAGCAAAGACCAGAAGAGTGATTACAAGAAGAAGAAAATGACGCCCAGTCCACCATTGTTCTCCGAACCATCCCTCCAACACTCCAGCATGGTGAACCCCATCTGAGCTCGTTCCAGATAGCACATCACCTTTTACTCCCAAGCCAACAAGTAAGTTTCATCATTAAAGCCAATAATTATAAGAACATTAAGAGCTAAAAAAACATAAAGTCACACTTAAGGTAATTGACCATTTGACCTGTCGATTTTCAGTTCTGGAAAGAATAAAGTCACTTTGCGGGGAAACTAGAGAACTTAAAATGGAAAGTGTGTTGGGTGCAACCCAAGTCCATGATTGGAAAAACAAGGGAGAATCACTGTGAATACTGTCTACTCAATTCAATAGTTGAGTCCTTTTGGTAAATGCCATAAACAAATACATGCAGGTTTGACCCAAAGTGGACTTTATCTACGAATACAAAGTTTAGATGATGTTTGTGGCCTAGCAAAGTGGACAATTTTCACAATTATACCAGGACCAAAACATCAACTAATGATATGATTAGAATTTGGAAATGGAATGTCCAGTTAAATGACACTCGTAGCCCCAAGTCATTCTTTGAGTTTATTAGTACACATTTGTCATATGGATCACTTCTATCTGTTTCCCAATTTTCATTTCAAGACTAAAGAAAACTAAGAACCCCAATTGAAGGATATTGAAGGGATGAAAATAGAGGGACCAGTTAGTCTGGGACTAAAGGCTGATTTGGCACAGTGGCATTTATTTTTAAATTTAGATGGTTGGAAATAACGCATAGACAAGAAATTATACATACACATGAATACATGACACAAGTCATACAACTAATCTTATACGGAGTAGTTATTTCTAGTCTAAGGATCACAAATAGAGATAAACTAGTAAAATAAAAACCAACGTTCCTCTTCCCTTCCCTCCAAATTTCTCGAACCAAACAAGCCCTAAAAGTATGGCGAGAATATAACTAGGGAACTAAAGGTGTCAATTTCCCAAACATAAACTTATACTGAAAAAATTCTTGAAAGTGTGAAAATATATGCATACCAATTATGATCATGTAGACAACAAGTATGCCAATGTTATTGACGAGGACACAGACTTGAAGCAATCTTCTTCCCCAATTCCCAAACGCGTCACCCATAACACTTGCATATGAATTATTGTTTGACCCGCTAAACCTTAGAAGAATGTCTATAGAGAAATTGGTCAAAACTGCCATGAAAATGATGGTGGAAATGCCAAGTCCGATGCCAAGAACTTTGATGGTGGCCGGAAGAGCCATAATTCCGGCCCCGACGACGGTGCTCGACAAGTTGAACACTGAACCCAGAAATGAAGCTCCATTCTGCCCCTTATCATGAGTGCCACCAAGTAGGGAAGTCCGAATTTCTTCTTTGTTGCACCCTTCTTCGATTGCCATGTTTTCTCAATGATTAATTTCAGCACGTTGGGAATTTGTTACTCCGCATTACTGGGTATATTATAATCTAGAGCCTGCTGATGTGGCTGGAAGTCTGATACCAACGAGAGGAATCAGACAAAATTGGATTTTTTTTACAATCATGCCTCCACATTTCGAAAAGCAAATATCTTCACAAAATGTAGAGATTGACTTAATTATAATCGGATAAAGATCTAGTTCTAATCTTTTAAGTATTGTAAAACTTTCACTCTCATAGGTTTATTTAAATTTTGATTTTGATGAATATTATTGGCTTTTATTAGGGTTTTAACGTAACTTTTATATATTGTTACATTATGGATTATTATGTGAGATATAAAATTGTACCAGTCGAACCACCAGTAAAAGAAAGCAGAACTTAAAGCCAAAAATCAAAATATACAAAGTACAGAGTAATTAAAAGGTAAAATGGGTAAGGACAAATATTTCACAAATTTATACTTTCTGCATCCCATAGAATTTTGCCAAACTTTCTTCCTTGATTGCCCCAAAAACGTTCATATTTCTCCATTAAGATTTTTAATTTAATTTATAATTCTACTCATTTCTTTCTCTTATGTATCAACCACGATCACATAATTTTTACCATTATTTATTTCTCACATAATTCAATGTTTGTAAAGTCTAATGAGACAAGAGTTATATAAAAAAGCATGTATCTATCTATAGAATAATTAATCACAAAATCATTGCACTTTTTTTGTGAAACATGAAAAGGTATATACATAATACTGTTTTGATCAATCTTATTTGAGTTTAACTTGGTATGATCCTTTGTAATTCCTTTTATTTAGCAATTTCATTGGTTTGTTTTTTTAATAAGATTAAAATTTCTATTTTAATTCATTTTTAATTAGCAAAATGATAGTTCCTTTTACTTTGGGTCATCCGGAAATAGTCTCTCTGTACTTTAGTACAGGGGCAAGACTGCGTACATTCAACCCCCTTATCCCACCATAAGTGGAAGCCTTTGCGGTACTGGAGTAATAATGATGATAAACAATAGTTCCTTTTAATTAACAATTTTACCAATGATCGATCCTCTTTGTTAAAGTTGTATGATATTTTATATATGCATAGGAATTGTGAAAAATAATTGATTAATTTCTCATAAGATAGACAAATGACAAACCTTATAGAGTATTCACCAATTTACTATATTGACAAGTCATTTTTACAATGTTGCTTATTGGGTGTCGGTATGTGGAAGTCTTGAATATCGTATCACGGGACAATGTATATGGAAAATTAAGTGTGAAATCAATCTAATAATCCAACACGTAAGCTAGCCAAATCGATGTATGCTTGTTAAACAGAAACAACTACATAGTAATGAAAATAGATAAAACGATTAAACTACAAGGGAGGTGAGGGCACACAAGGAACAGCCTATGAGTGAGGGTAAGAGGTTAAAATGGGGATCTTTGAGAAAGTATTATGCAACAAAAGGGATAGATACAAGTTCCATTGTCACTCGATCTCATCGTCAAGGGAGTATTAAGGGTTTCTATTGGTCACTCTCATGGTTCAATAGTAATCTAAAGTCATACAAAGAAGGTCAAACAAGAATTTATCCTCTATTTTCTCCCATTCTAATGGAGAGGATGTAGAATGTGTGAATGTGTAAAAATGAATCCTAAAAGTCTCTTTGAAGGTCCAAAATAACATCTAAGAACATTGTGATCATCAAAGTTTTAGAAACTTATAGATGCATTTTCACAAACTTATGTGTGCATAACATGGTTGACAATCCTTAAACACCTCAATCCGTAGCCTTACCACTCACTCATGCTAGTTGTCATATTCATATAAGAAATATAGGACATGGATATGAAGTGAGATAAATGAATAAATTGGTAGAAAGATGACAATAATGCAATCCAATAAATTAAATGAAACTAGTATGTTGATGTAGATTCATCGAGTTAATATTAAGAAATGACTACTCACATATGATGATGTAGATTCATCGAGTTAATATTAATGGCATTAAATCGATAATACAAATGCAATTCTATTCCTTCAAACCCTTCTTATTATACATCACTGAATAAATACTTCGTACTTCCTCCGTCTCACAATAGATGCAACATGAGTTTTGGCACAGGATTTAAGAAAATTAAATAAAGTGATTTTCTTCCTATTATACCCTTCAGTACACCGCGTTGGGTTGTAGCAGGCTAGCTAAAGGTTATAGACATATCACTGCACAAAAACAGTACTGCTTTTCAGATTACAAATACTACTCTGTCTCACGGTACTTTCAAATTAGCTTACAAAATACTCAAATCGGTAAACCTCAAATCGGAAAACCTTCTCGCCGGCGTCCAACCTTGAAATCCAAAGATGTGATGATAAACCTCCCCTCCGGCGGCAGCACTAGTGTCGGCCTTCTGTTAATTGATGTTGAATGGCTTGTCTCTCTTGAAGCAAGAATGTGAGGAGTATCTCAGAGCAGTAACCCTGCATCTTCCATGGTCGAATATCGAGGGGAACAAAAATGAAAACTAAATTATTTTGTGGGAAAAGCTCGGGATCTCTCTGAATCTGCCTCGTTGAAAACTAAATTATTTTGGGATAGTGAAGGCTAAACACATTTAGGAGGGGGGGGGGGCATGTTAGATTAGGAAAACACATGGTGTATATACGGAGGAAGATAACTAAAGGCTAGGGGTGGATGGCAACTGGCAAGAAATTAAGGAAAGAGATAAATGGGAGATCGGTGGTGGGGGAGAGAAATTAGAAAAGGTAGGTATGAAATCATTAGGGGCATTATAGACATTGTATTTATTTTGTTTGCCAAAAATAGAAGTGTTGCAATTAATTTGAAACTGCCAAAAAAGGAAAGTGTTGCAATTATTTAGAGACGGAGGATAGTATGTTGTAATACTCTATCTATACTGTTAATATCTAGTTGGTTAATATCATCACTTTCCCTCTCGTCAACCATAAAGTCGCCTTTTCAGATTGCTAGAGTTAGCACAAAGAATTAGAATAGAAAATTGTGTAATTGCTATTTGTACCAAAAGAGAGAAATAACTTTAAGCATATTTGTTTACTTTAATGGAAATGAGAATATTTTGGAATACAAAATAAAAAATTGTTGATGTTTTATGGGACGGAGAAAATATTAGAGATAACATCCCACCCGTACCCCCAATGTGGACGGTCGAGTCCAATTCTGGTATCATCAATGAATAGAGCCGTCAAAATGGACCGGAACCCGCGGACTGGCCCGTTTAAACCCATTTATTGGTGGGTTAGGGTTGAGAATTTCTGACCCATTTAGTTCGCGGGTCAACCCACGCGGGTTGCGGGTTTAAGTGGGTTGGCCCACCGGGTTGCGGGTTGGCCCGCGGGCCAAAATATAAATATATAGTTTTGAATTTTATTATCATAAATAATGTTCTTTTACTATCAATATTATTATAATTACAATTAAAAAATTACAACCATGACAAAACAATATTTATTTCTATAATAACTATTCAAATAAAATGTTGAAAAGTATATTTTATGTGAAGTTTGATACAATATTTAACAATTAGTAGTCATTATTTACAAATAATCAATCAAAAGATTTGTGTAGATCTTTATTTTTATACAATGAGTATTTTTGTCGCATACCCTCTTATAGTTTTCAAATTCTCGTATAACTAGTATTTAATATTTTTTAATTAAACTTAACAAGTATTGAATTTTTAGTATTTTGATTTCTTATATTGAAATCCAATCTTTGGAAAATCCAATCTTTTATTGAACCAAGCGTAATGGTAAAATTTCTTTTGTTACTACTTACTAATATAAATATATACTTCCGGGTAATTATTTTTAAAGTTTTTTTTGTTATATATTTTTTTTACATTGACCCGCGGGCCAACCCGTTTAACCCACGGGTTAGATGGGTTGGGTTAGGGTTGAAGAAATTCTGGCCCGTCATTAAACGGGTTGGCCCAACCCAACCCACATAAAGCATAACCCGTTACGGGTCGGGTCGGGTTGGGTCGGGTTGACCAATTTGATAGCTCTATCAATGAATATGAAAAATTACACACTTTGCCCTTAACCAGATGACATGGACAGCATTAATTGCACACAATTTGCAGCAAAATTAGACAAGTAATCCAATGTATATCCACGGATACTAGCATTTATTGTTACTACTACTAGTATTATTGTCAGATCCACCTAAACCAAATTATGTGTTGGGTTTCTCTTGGCTCTGCCTCTGCCTGACTTTACTCAGCAGACCTCTGCCGTCTGTCTCTCTTTTCTTTAATACTACTCATTCAAATATAGGAGGATTGAAAGGAACCTTACACTAAACCAGGTAAGCATTTGTAAATGCCAGTGCTTCATCAGACCATCACCAATCCTGAGATATCAAACTAATGGTAGACATCAGGATTTAATGAGGTGCAAAACATTGACTTTGTCATAAAATTCGAAAGTAGTCACCTTCAATAAACTATTAAAATAATCAAGAAGCAAGTATCATGTGGACAGATTCAATTTAGTATTCTATAAGATTCTTTTATCCTTCAGAAAGAATGTATGCACTTATGCTTTGGTATCAGCAAGCTCAAGTTTTTCACTCAGGGAAGTCCTTATTTTTCAGAACCCAAATAGACCCTATGTGAATCTATTTTAATTACTCAGCTAGTAATGGAAGAAAAAGATTCAGCTGTGAGTATCCAGTCCTTGCTAGCAGACATATCAGAGGTTACCAACTCAGTACTGCTTGTAGAGATGGAAAGGAACAATTTCATTGAAATTGGAAGTTATCTTTACCGTACATCATCAGTCCTAATGGAGCTGCAGATCAACAAGAACACTCCAACAAATGTTGCAGAGATCTTACTGTCCCTATGGAAAAGCTTTGAACTTGCTGAGCACACAATCAAGAAACAGAGGAGAAGTTTTCATATGGAAGAAGAGCTTCAAGGTGTGGTAAAAGATCTTGGGAAAGGACTAAGTTTGATGCCATTTTCAGCATTCGGGGAGCGAGATTATGCAGGAATCACAGCTAAGTCACTATCCATGGAAATCAAGGGTATGTTTGGATTCAGGAATATGCAAAGGACAAATATATATGATTAATTTTGTAAGAAAATTATCTGTTTAGATTTCTTAGTCTTTATAGAAATAGATAAACAAAATGAGTGAAGAA